TTACACCACCAAAGTTCTCCATCACGAGCTAAATACCTATAGTTACAACAGGATTACGGGATGAAAAGTTTCTTTTTGCTGCTAATTATTCCATTTTTACGAGAGCGATGAATATTTTATATTTCGCTTAAATCGTTACAGCCTGTCTAGTTACAGTGCAACAAAAAACCAGTAAGCTAACATTATAATCTCTAAGGATTAATATTGTAAAGGATTATGTTCCGCGGACGTGTTTTGCAAGATACAAGTTCTAATTGTCAAGAGATTAGAAATTTCGGCGCACTTAATCCTAAACATAAATATTATGAATTTTAAGGTACACATTTTGTAGTTCAAATAATTTATTTTTTATATAGGGTTTCGAAATAAACATGAATGAATATGTTTAAAGGTATGAATTGAAATTTAAAACAGACTACGTATGGCTCAAATAGTGACAGTAAAATAGGACCACTGAATATTATGCAGTGGTACTTAACAATTCAAATAAGAAATGAATATTTGTAAATCATTTTGATTTTTTTATTTACATATAAAATTTTTAGATATATATTATACTGGGATGGATTTAAACTCAATAGTCTTGCTTTTTCCATTGACAAAAGCTACTGAGTTTAGTATTAAGTATCGATATCAGATACTTCCTCTTTGGAACCATTTATTTCTTGGCTTTGGATGTAACTGCGATAGGCATAATAAAAATACAGAATCAGTTACATATATAAAGAAAAGTATGTTGGATAGAGTAAAAAGTTTGATTATTCTTAAATGGCTGCATGGAAAATCAAAGCTTTTAAAATTACACAAATCAAACCAATACTTTGCGTATCAGGAAAATTTTTGTGTAGCATTATTCGAAGCCCAGCAAAACATCAATACACTGAAGTGACAAAAGTCATGGGATACGGTCCTCCATTTGTCCGGCGAAGTGCATCAATTCGACGTGGCATGACTCAACAAGTCGTTGGAAGTCCCCTGCAGGAATATTGAGCCATGCTGCCTCTATAGACGTCCATAATTGTGAAAGTGTTGACGGTGCAGGGTTTGGGGCACGAACTGACCTCTCGATGATCTCCCATAAATGTTCGATGAGATTCATGTCGGGCGATCTAGGTGGCCAAATCATTCGCTGGAATTGTCCAGAATATTCTTCTAACCAATCGCGAACAATTGTGGCCCGGTTACATGGCGCATTGTCATCCATAAAAATCCCATCGTTTTTTGAGTACGTGAAGTCCATGAATGGCTGTAAGTGATCTCCAAGTAGCTGAAGGTATCCATTTCCAGTCAATGATCGGCTCAGTTGCACCAGAGGATCGAGTCCATGCCATGTAAAAACAGCCCAGACCATTATGGAACCACCACCAGCTTGAACAGTGCCTTGTTGACAACTTGGGTCCATGGCTTCGTGAGGTCTGCGCAACACTCGAACTCTACCATCAGCTCTTACCAACTGAAATCGTTCTTCATCTAACCAAGCCACGGTTTTCCATTCGTTTAAGGACCAACCGATATGCTCACGAGCCCACGAGAGTCGCTGCAGGCGATGTCGTGCTGTCAGTAAAGGCACTCGAGTCGGTCTTCTGCTGGCATAGCCCAAGGAAGACAAATTTAGCCGTACTATCCTATCGGACACGTCCCTCGTACGCCCAACATTGATGCGGTTATTTGACGCAGTGTTGCTTGTCTGTGAACATTGACAACTCTACGCAGACGTCTCTGGTCTCGGTCGTTAAGTGCAGGTGGTCGGCCACTGCGCTGTCCATGGTAGGATGTAATGCCTGAAATTAGATACTCTCGGCACACTCTTGACACTGTGGATCTCGGAATGTTGAATTCCCTAACGATATCCGAAATGCAATGACCCATGCGTCTAGCTCAACTACCATTCCGCGTTCAAAATCTGTTAATTCTCGTCGTGCGGCCATAATCACGTCAAAGCCTCTTATCATGAATAACTTGAACACAAATGAAAGCCCTGCCAAAGCATTTCGTATTTATACATTTTCTACGCGATACTACTGCCATCTGTATATTTGCATATTGCTATCCCATGACTTTTGTAACTTCAGTGTAGAATATCAAATCAACGAAACGTATATTTGATAAACACAATAGAAATGTAAATCTACGTTTCTTAAAATAGAGACACTTTACCATTGAACTCCTTAATGTTCATAATGGCACTCAGGCATGCAAGTGTTGCTAGCTTGAAAGTACACTCATGTCCCTAAATTAAAGATAATGCAAAATCACGCAAAGGAAGAGTTGGAAGCAAAACAAATTTTAATTATTTGTAAAGCTTATTTATTAAACAAAAGGTAAAGAGAAAAAAAAAAAAAAAAAAAAAAAAAAGATGCTATATGTTTGATATTATTAAAAAAATTAGCGATTTTTTCTCCCTGGAGCAAATTACAAAAAAACCTATTTACAGAAAACAAATATTACATGGTTGGTATGATTGTTAATACATTGTATGTCTCCCAGACGATGCAATACAGTCCGTACAACGCCTAGGCATGCTGAGTATCAAATTATCGATCTGATCTTAGGGGATATTACACCACTTAAAGAGCAATGCTCTCCGAAGTTCCGGTAGCCATGTAGGAGGAGGTTGACGGGCTGCAACTCGTCGGCCAAGCATGTCCCACACGGGATCTACTGGATTCAAGTCCAGTGAGAATGCTGGCCAGTCCATACGGGTGAAATCCTCCGATTGAAGGTATTCGCTTACGATGTTTGCACGGTGAGAACGGGCGTTGTCATCCATAAACACAAATTGTGCGCCCATGGCGTCCCGAAACAAACGTACATGTTGTTCCAGAATGACGTCCCGATAGATTTGACTTGTCATGGTTCTAATTTGAACATGCAGGCTATTTTTGGAACCCAGAATAATTCCACCCCAAACGAGCACTCCTGCACCACCGTAACGGTGTCGTTCAATGATGTTTTCTTGGTTGTAACGGGTACCTCGAGCTCTCCATGAGAAAGTCCGGCGAGAATCAGACTGAAAGCTAAACCAGGAGTCGTCGGAAAACATCACACAAGCCCACTGTCGCGGTGTCCACAATGCATGCTCTCTACTCCAGGCTAACCGCAGGCGACAGTGAGTTGCAGTAAGTGGAACGCATCTGACAGGTCAACGAGCATATAGACCAGTCTGCCCTAAGCGTCTGTACACGGTCTGCCTTGAAATTGTCGTACCAGTGGCTGAAGCGAGCTGACGAGACAGGTCTGAGGCTGCGCTCCGCCTGTTTCTTTTGGCAGTAACTGCCAAATACCCGTCCTCATTCGGCGTTTTAGCTCTGGGGCGACCTGTGCTGTAACGTCTATTCACATTACCATCACCTTGGAATCGTTGCCAAAGCCTGGAGATGACAATCTAGGCAATTCCATGTTCGTCTGATACTTCCAGTTGGGTACGCTCACATTCCAGACGGCCGATAATTCTACCACGTAAAACATCATCCAATGTTCAACTTTTGTGTCATAACTATTCGGTTATTGCACTGAAATGCTTATAAAGCGCCTGCGAACAATTTTACTTCTTTGCCTGTATTCCTTATATATCACTCTCTTACACTCTCGTCATTGTGACGTACCATCGGTGTCATCTGGTTACTTCTGGAAATTTGCATATGATTCTTGAAGATGTGTGTAATGATTTTACAGGTGATATATTTATTTTAGAGTTCGATTTCCGCGTTACTCCGAATTATCCTTAATTTATGGACATGAGTGTACTTTAGCTTGAAATTAGCAAACTTCATAAAAATTTTCCGAACTGTTAGATTAGAGCACCATTAAAGAAGAATGATTTTAATTTCTGCTTTGATTAACAAAAAAAGTATTCCTATTCACATGGTAGTGACCCTGCATAATAGTGTCATAATGATTGTTGGTTTCAAGTTAAAAAATAAATCCTCATAAATGTGTTGGCATCTGAAGCACACTAATATAATATAGCGACTAAAATGCTGACATAAAAAAGAAATGCTCACATATATCCGGATTAGTTTCAACAGACCAGATTACATTGTGCTCCATAAACGGCTTCTTAGATCTTAACTTCGCAAATTTTTCCATGTTAAAAATATTGTGTTAGTATTACATTTGTCCCCAAGCCTATATTATCCTAAACAATTATAATATCATTTCGAAATTCTTCATATAACTGTAAAGTCTTTATTTTAATTTAAACAATTATTTTTAGTGTTCCTTTCCTTTCCCTCCTGATTTCAGTTTCCGGCCGAAATGTAAATTTATTATGACGTAGATAATAATCTAAAATTGTTTCAGAAGCAATATTTAAGCCGCGTTTTAAAGAGTTCGAGCAAAGTAGTAGCGGACTTAGTTCCGAGTTTATGCTGCGTGTTTGAAATTAGCTCTCTAGTCGGTGTTAGGCACCTTTCAGTTTATACTCATATTTCTAGGCTTGACTTTGCTGTGTGCAGCCGATTTAACGTTAAGCTAAGTAGCCAGTCGTTAGATATCTTAATTTATTAGTCATTTGTTACATTCTTATTCTTATTATTTTACATTCTTATGGTGATTTAGTTTAAATAAAAAGTTATTTAAATCCTTCTTCTACACTATTTATGTTTCAAGACTTATAAATACATAACTTATAAATGCCACAATAAATTTATGTAAGCAATATGTGAAAAGTTTTACTTCTATTCTGATGTAACCAGTCAACATAGGCTTGCCATTAAAACAAAATACAGCCAAACGAAATTCAGACAATCAGTTAGATTAAGCATACTTTCTTAGTGTGGCGCAGAATGTTTAATTCATATCGAACATTTATTTACTAACATTTGAGTTTCCAGATCAGTTCTATGAAGCCTTTTGAGCAATAATCTACAATTTATTACGCTACTTACATTTGCGTTCAATTTAGAAACCTTAAAGTTTTTCACACTCCAAAATATATTCTCTACCGAATCGTTATGTTTCGATTAGAATTTCGAAATTTGAGACTTCTCCAGACTTACCTTCAATTCTTCCTTCTCCGTCGGGTTGGGGGCACTCGGGGACTCCGTAATGGGTGGCGCCGAATGCCGCCGAATAGATCACTATTCGAAGGTTCTTGTGACACCTTAAACGAAGTCTATCGCCCTCGCACACCACCTTATTGGAGAAGACATCTGTAAACAGAAAGTGCAATTACTTATAGAACGACCCAATAAGATTTCACGTGATTTAAAAAGAAATTTGGCTAATTCACCGGCGAAGCGCAGAATATAGGGTACTATTACGAGTTCTTTATTCATTAAATATAATGACAGAAATGATGTAGAATAGTTTAAGCGATTAAAAATATTTTATGCAAAATAACCTTAAAGTGGATTAACTTTAATTCAATAGAGTACTTGCTAAATATTTTATTATTTACGAGATCTACGGTTACTCAGTTAGAATAAAAATTAAGCATCTAAACAAACAATTTATACAGAATACGAATATTAGTAAATATGCCTCGAATGTAAAAAGGTTCAGAATTCTGTTTATAAATAACATCAGATTTAACTAGATAGGAATTATTGAGCCTGGTTAAGTATATTATGAAAACTATCTGAAAAGATGTGCCTGCATGAAGGAAATTCTGGGGAAAATAAAAAAATACTTGCGTTACACCTAACCAGTTCAAAGACCAAAAATAGAACATGGAATAAATTAGAAATATTTCACAAGTGTAAGCACTCTGCCAATGATTGGTTTATAAATTGCAATGAAATTACTGCATAGAGGCTGTCGTTCAAACATTGTACGTATATATACTTTGATGTACGCTAGCGTTAGCGTGGATTTTATCGTGCTGCTACTAGTACCTCAAATAGTCCTTGGGTGAGGAAACTATGGGATGACTTTCTGATGGAAAGTGCAAAGTTTAAGATCAAAAGGAGACCCTTGTCGCGGAACATTGGTGTGAAAACTAGCTGCCAAGGGAAAATCAAAATTCTGAACTGATGATTGGTGATGGAGAGCGGAGACACTTGATGTCTAACATAAGAAATCAGGTGATGTACTACGTTCTCTCCTACCCACAGCAATACTTCCCAGGGGCAACAAGAATGCCACTTCGGGAGTTTACGAATTTTGAGTTTAAGATATTTCACAGCTAATGTTTTTTACAATGGTATATGTGTTACTGATTGGCATTTTCGGTTTTTTCACAGAATTGTAAAATATAACATACAAACATATGCAATAAAACTATACATACGACACGAAATTACACTATATGCATAAACATAACATACAAAATAAAATGTACATGCACAGAATTATAAAAAAATATATAAAGTACACTGCTGCTTTGTCATGACTGCATTTTATTCTATATCGTACAGTTATTCAGTTCGGGATTTAAAATTTTGAACTGTGTTCAATATGTTCGTAAGTTCATTAGTTAATTTTGTTCAGCTGATGTCATGGCTCAGACAGTTCAAATATTATTAGAAAGAAAAGTTAAAAATTAAAAATAAATAAATAAAATAAAATAAAGTACGTTATTAAATAATAGTTTAGTAAATAATTTAATTCACCTTGGCTAACATATATCTTGCTCTGTCACTGCTCTTAAAATTATACTTCTACAGATTTTATTAATTGCTACATAATTTTTATAATAAATTTCTGTATCCTGTGTCGTGGTTAGTAGGTATTGATGATTTGTGTTTTGTCAATGGGGGTTACAAGATATAGCTCTGGAGAATCTTCATTTCTACAGATGCAGATGTCTTTATCTGAGATATTGAACTTACTAAAATAGCAGGAAATAAACAATGATTTGTTACAAATTCTGTTGGCTGTGGAAAGGCTATAATACGTTCAGTTGAAAGGTTTGGCATAAAGATATATATTCGTCTTTCTGGTTGGACCGTTATCCCATTCATTTTGCCTCTTTTGAACTCCTTTTCCCAAAAGGGCCTTTTTAAATGTGAGAGAGGAGCTAAATTGATAAATACAGTGCCTTCCAGATTATCAAATGCGTCTCTGAGTAATTTGTCTGCTGTTTGATTACCTTGTATTCTTATGAGTACTTTCACCCATTTCAGTTTTATAAACTTATGTATATCGTTCCTTAAACGTTCATGAATGCTAATGATGATAGGTGCTGTGCGCTGGAGATTAGAGATGGCTTCCGCCAGAAAAACGCTATTGTAAGATGTCAAAATGTTCTTTCCAGGTCTATATTTGACTCGGATCTTTAAGCTCCATAAAGGCTCTTCCTATATCCTCATATTTTTTTAACTATCAGTACAAATAGTATGTGTTTCTTGTGAAATGGAAAGACTCCGGTTCTTAACCAAGTTTGACATACACAACTATACCTTTGAGCTCTGGATGGATTTGAAGGATATTTGGTTGGCAATCATACATAATTAGACTGCAAATGGTGTCTTCAAATGTCGCGTCCCTCGCTAATTGAATAACTTTGGTGTAAACAAACTCTGGTTCTGTACGAACGTAGACTGATATCAGACTTGCAAGGATAAGTGCAGCGCTCATAAGCTATTTTTTAAAGACTCTGAATTGGCTGCGGCTAAATTCCTGCAAAATACAATATTGTTTTCCTTCTACTATAAAGTATAATAGCATTTGCAGATCGTTTATTGGTCTTGATCACGATGATGTCATTATTATTCTGTGCTACATATTGAACAGCTTGCTAAGTTACTACCTCAGTTCTCCGAAGATTTATTTGCATAAACCGTATTGGACCCTTTTGGCGGTTTTCATGGATATTTAGGTGTGCCTGCTGTATACTGACGTCTTCTCGATGATTATTCATACCTCGTATGTGTATTCATAGATCGTGCATGTCTCGATTGTATTCAATGTGTCTTTCATATATAGGACACGGTTGGTGGTAGATGGATGCAAAATGTTTCGCTGTTTGTTCAACAATTAAGTGTTTTGTATTTGGTGAATACTGCTGGTCTGGCAATATAATCTTTGATTTTGTGCAATCCTGAAAAAAATACGCAATAAGACATATTTCTGCTGTCTTGATGTGAATGCGTGAATTCTTGACAGCGGAAGCAGCATTTGGTAATGAGGAATTCTTTAATTCATTATGAGCGCCATAAATGCTCGGGACTGCCGATATGCATGGGGACTGATATGCTGCCTGTGGCACTCGGGTCGTTCAGACGATAACAACACTCTCGTTGTAGTTTTTTTAATAACATATTCTAATGCCGTTGAGGGCATATGGTTTTTTCTATTTGATTTCCTTTATCATTTTGGAATACTTAGACAAGTTTATTTAGGTCGGTGGCATAAGTGGCTTCATCCCATGCGTTAGACGAAGATAATATCAATAAATTTGCTGCGTTATTAAGCGGAGAGAGTAGAATAAGCTACTTGGCGAATCATCTATCAGGAGTATCGAATTTCAAGCGATACCATACAATTCATCAGTCAATGTAGAACTGAAACGAAAATTAGATTTCAATTTTGGTAATTAATTCTATGATTTTCAGACGGTAATTAATTTTTGGCATCCATCTGATGTTGAACGGTACTCGTCAACAAGCCTGAGGTTTACACTGCCATGATATTGAAGTCCTCCGTAAGTCTGAGAATGGTTTCTATGACTTAGGAACCGTCACGTGCTGATATTCTAGTCATATAATTTTTATAACGTTATCTTTCCTTTATTTACGTTCCCTTGATTGAGATATAGAAAGTTATCTTTTTGCACGGGATTTTCGTTTTAGTCGTTCTTCTCCTGCTCTACAGTGGATTTCGCAGTTTTGCTGATATAAACCAGCAGTTTCTCACGTCCACGAAAATTCGTAGTGTGATATTATTTGCGATGAGAGATCTTGATATTTTGTATAGCTGAATGAAGCAAAATGCATTATAACGGGAGAACAGTAACAGATAGAATTAATTGGGTTTCCACAAGGGTATTAGACTTTCCATCAGGCTCCATTAACTAGTGCTATTTATATTTAAGCAATACACATATATATTATGCAGACAGTATTCAATTTCTTCATACAATTAATTTGTAAATCTTGGTCTCATAGTTTTATTAATAGTAGGGTTTAGAAAATTAAAAAAAAACTGAGGGGGAACATATTTCTATAATTTATAGTTCGGAACATAATATTTTATAGAATTATTACTTTGAGACTTGACATAGTTCTGTCATATGTATTGCTGATTTTGTAATGATGCAATTTATATTTGCTATCAGCTGTGAGTCTTTTTTTCACAAAGTACCTTTTGAAAGCAAGTTCGTTATTGGCTATGCTGAAATTCAGATGTACGGTATATCCTAATTTTATAACAATTATTTTTAAGCTCCTTCCCTAACTCTTCTGGCTTCAGCTTACAATTCCTTACCAGAATGCGTTTTTAGATTCACACTTGTCTATTCTCTGGTAATTGTGCTATTATTTTATAAAGCGAAGATTTTTCTTTGCTGTAAATAGGCCACCAGAGTGAATCAAATATAAACTCTAAATACAGTCACAAAATAGCTGAACTCAGCTGATTTGTTTTGTTGGATCTTATCTTCTTCAAATGAGCATCTACTCCATAAATTCTAAAGCATTGATTTCTCAAATAATAGTGGTGAGTGCTAATAAATTCATTTGTATGGAAGTGATATTTGAGTCTTCCTCTTATTCCAATATTTTCCCAATAGCTGGAATGGGGATTTATTGGCCTTTAGGATTTGGGATTGTCTGCTCTTTTATTCTTCATTGTGAATATCACAATCTGACCTACATTTGAGAATTGGGAAACGTTTGTAGTTTAGTACCTTTATTGAAAAAGTCTGCGCGGATTATCCAGTCCGTTGGGGTGAGAGTTTTTTTTCTTGGCGAGGCATTTAATTATAAAATGAACGAGATCTCGTTTATTGTGAATTGGACCTCATTTGCTCTCTCTGTGATGACTTTGCAATCACGTAGCATTACTTTATGACCCGTAGTGACTTCATTAGGATCATTCTTAGGAAATACCGCATTTAGTATGGTATTTATTGATAATGTACTAAAATCTGCATTATTGTTTGAATTTATTTTTGGATTGTTTGGAAGGTCAAGCTATGTACGCTTAAAAAACTTGTTAACATCTATTTTACATTATGACCCATATGTATCCTTGTTATTTGCAGAGTATT